TGCTACAAGTCTGATAATATCAACAAACTTGTTACAAGTTGTTTTAACAACTTGTACAATATTGTTATATCATGACTGTATCGGACTTGTTGGAACAATCTTGCTACAAGTCTGATAATATCAACAAGCTTGTTACAAGTTGTTAACAACTGTTTACAATATTGTTATATCATGACTGTATCAGACTTGTTGGAACAACCTTGCTACAAGTCTGATAATATCAACAAGCTTGTTACAAGCCGTTTAAGCAACTTGTACAATATTGTTATATCATGACTGTATCGGACTTGTTGGAACAATCTTGCTACAAGTCTGATAATATCAACAACCTTGTTACAAGCTGTTAACAACTTGTATACAATATTGTTATGTCATGACTGTATCAGACTTGTTGGAACAACCTTGCTACAAGTCTGATAATATCAACAAGCTTGTTACAAGCTGTTAAACAACTTGTACAATATTGTTATATCGTGACTGTATCAGACTTGTTGGAACAACCTTGCTACAAGTCTGATAATATCAACAACCTTGTTACAAGCTGTTAACAACTTGTATACAATATTGTTATATCATGACTGTATCAAACTCGTTGGAACAACCTTGCTACAAGTCTGATAATATCAACAACCTTGTTACAAGCTGTTAACAACTTGTATACAATATAATTGTTATATCATGACTGTATCAGACTTGTAGGAACAACCTTGCCACAAGTCTGATAATATCAACAACCTTGTTACAAGCTGTTAACAACTTGTATACAATATTGTTATATCATAACTGTATCGGACTTGTTGGAACAACCCTGCTACAAGTCTGATAATATCAACAAGCTTGTTACAAGCTGTTTAAACAACTTGTATACAATATTGTTATATCATGACTGTATCAAACTCGTTGGAACAACCTTGCTACAAGTCTGATAATATCAACAACCTTGTTAGAAGCTGTTAACAACTTGTATACAATATTGTTATATCATGACTGTATCGGACTCGTTGGAATAACCTTGCTACAAGTCTGATAACATCAACAACCTTGTTACAAGCTGTTAACAACTTGTATACAATATTGTTATATCATGACTGTATCAGACTTGTTGGAACAACCCTGCTACAAGTCTGATAATATCAACAAGCTTGTTACAAGCTGTTTAATCAACTTGTACAATATTGTTATATCATGCTTGCATCAGACTTGTTCGAACAACCTTGCTACAAGTTTGATAATATCAACAACCTTGTTACAAGCTGTTAACAACTTGTATACAATATTGTTATATCATGACTGTAACGGACTTGTTCGAACAACCTTGCTACAAGTCTGATAATATCAACAAGCTTGTTACAAGCTGTTAAACAACTTGTACAATATTGTTATATCATGACTGTATCGGACTTGTTGGAACAGCCATGCTACAAGTCTGATAATATCAACAAGCTTGTTACAAGCTGTTTAATCAACTGGTACAATATTGTTATATCATGACTGTATCAGACTTGTTGGAAAAATCTTTCTACAAGTCTGATGATATCAACAAGCTTGTTACAAGCTGTTTATTCAACTTGTAATATATTGCTATATCATGACTGTATCGGACTTGATGGAACAATCTTGCTACAAGTCTGATAATATCAAGAAGCTTGTTCGAAGCTGTTTAATCAACTTGTACAATATTTTTATATCATGACTGTATCGGACTTGTTGGAACAATCTTGCTACAAGTCTGATAATATCAACAAGCTTGTTACAAGCTGTTTTATCAACTTGTACAATTTTGTTATATCATAAATGTATTGGACTTGTTGGAACAATCTTGCTACAAGTCTGATAATATCAACAAGCTTGTTACAAGCTGCTTAAACAACTTGTACAATATTGTTATATCATGACTGTATCGGACTTGTTTGAACTATCTTGCTACAAGTCTGATAATATCAACAAGCTTTTTACAAGCTGTTTAAGCAACTTGTAAAATATTGTTATATCATGACTGTATCGGATTTGTTCGAACAATCTTGCAACAAATCTGATAATATCAGCAAGCTTGTTACAAGCTGTTTAAACAACTTGTACAATATTGGTATATCATGAATGTATCGGACTTGTTGGAACAACCTTGCTACAAGTCTTATAATATCAACAAGCTTGTTACAAGCTGTTTAAGCAACTTGTACAATATTGTTCTATCATGAATGTATCAGACTTGTTGGAACAACCTTGCTAAGAGTCAGATAATATCAACAAGCTTGTTACAAGCTGTTTAAATTACTTGTACAATACTGTTATATCATGAATGTTTCAGACTTTTTGGAACAATCTTGCTACAAGTCTGATAATATCAACAAGCTTGTTACAAGCTGCTTAATCAACTTGTACGATATTGTTATATCATGACTGTATGAGACTTGTTGGAACAATTTCTACAAGTCTGATAATATCAACAAGCTTGTTGCAAGCTGTTTAAACTGTTTCGTTATATGACTGAAAGCACACAAACCAACTACAACATACTTCGATATATTTAGCTAAGTAATAAAAAACCTATATACGAAATGTTTACTTGGCTTAAATAGGCTACCAACTAATTATACATGCATGCAAATATTTTTTTAATTGTTTTTATGAATATTGCAACATCCTCCCTTTCATAGAGAGAGAGATTCTATCGTTGTTGTCTATTTATCTGATAAATAAGTAAACGTTTATGATCCCACTAAGTACTATAATCGTCCAAATACTTCGGTCTTTGACTAATTCTACCACTCCGCGTTCGAGTAATTATATTGTCTCTCATGTCACCAGACAGCATACCGGACTCCAGCTGTTTCTATGAATATTGGCAACAAATAAAAACTTTGTTTGGTATAATTCTACTGTAAATGAGTTTAAAGATAATAGTATTTATCGGATTAGAGTTTTCGTTTTCATTCCTTCAAATATCGTTGCAATCCTTCACGTATATGTATTGCATAGTTTGTTTGTGATGTTACTCTGAGTGTATATCCACACCGGGCAAGCTTGAAAAATATGCCTGGCCACGGTGGGAATCGAACCTACAACCTTTGGAATACTAGCTCAATGCTCTGCAACTGAGCCAGGCATATTTTTCAAGCTTGCTCGGTGTGGATATACACGCAGAGTAACATCACAAACAATCATATTCACCTGAGTACACAACACCAACACAGAAAATATTGCATAGTTGTAACTCGTTTACAGTAGAAATATACCAAACAATGTGTTTTAGTGTTATTTTTACTTCTTTTCCACTCTTAAAAACAATAAAAAAGTCTGACACAAGTGTCCTAATATACGTGAAGTAAAACGTACCGAGATTATCTAAAGTGCGAGCTGCGAGTTGCGAGTTACGAGTATATTGTTAATTTCTAATAATATCGGGTTTAATTTTAACCCAGGGTTAACACTAACCTAGCTTTGAAGCACCGAACCAGGTGTTTATACCTGTGGTTTACACTAAAAAATCAAATTGAAAACTGTATGGCATCCTGGCGGGTGGGATTTTAGCTTTGTCTCAATTTGGCGCCAATTTTCAGTTTTTGAAATAAACATTCATTCCATTTATTTTTATACTTACAAACTTGTAAATAGCAATCGTTTTGATGTACTGATGCTTTTTTCCCGTGTAAAAATAAATTTTTGTATGTATATGTATGTATGTATGTACACATGGTCGTACTGGAAGGAAAAAATTAGGGGGGCGGAAAGAAATTTGCCCGACTTTTTCGGATTGTGCCCGACCAGTGCCAAAAAAAATTTTCCCGGAACAAATTATTTTTGGCGACCTCCCCCACCCCAACCCCCCCCCCGTCGCCAAAAACATTTCGGTCAGTGTACCATTTTAGGGGTCCAAAAATGTTTCGGACATACCAACATTTTTCGGAACATCATACAAATTTTCCAGACATCACAGAATTTGTCCCATTTATTTTTATAATAAGCCAATATTGCCCGACTGTGGAGCGAAAATTGCCCGACTGGCTTTGTTTGCCCAACAAACTGGGGGTGGGGGAGGGGGGGCTGCCGCGTTCAGTATATATAAACAAACTGAGTCGGTGTCTAGTCATACTTACTAATAAATAGGAGTTACTATCGCAAGGAAAATGCTGCCTTACCCCCCGAAGGGATCAAAGGCAGCATGCACAATTTGCTGAATAAGGGGCTGTTTAATATATGATCCTGCTTTGCCAGGACAAGATGTGTGAAGCTGGATTATTTTTGATGTATTGAAATAAGTTATGGTGCACAATGGCCTATTGCATTTTTAAACCACCCCCCCCCCTCCCCCCTATGGAGGATACTGGAATTTCCAGACCCCCCTTCCTAAAATTCAACAAAAAAAGAAGGAATTTCCAAGGGAGGGTCGAAATTTTAAAGAAAATCTGTAGAAATTCCACGGGGTTGGTTAAAAAAACAACATGGAAATTCCAAGGGATGGTTACCATTACACAAAAAATGTGGAAATTATAGAGACTAGGTCAAAACCATCGGTGAAATTTCCAAGGGATGAGTAGAAATTCATTAAAAATCTGTGGAAATTCCATGGGGTAGGCTGGAAATTTGTAAAAAAATCGTGGAATTCCAGGAGTAGGATGGAAACTCATTGACATCTGCGGAATTCCAGGGGAGGGGGTCCAAAAAATGGATGTCCTCCATGGGGGGGGGGGCGTTGGATTAAAAATGCAACAAGCCAATACAGCAAAAGACTACAAAAGAAAATAAGATTCAGATAGATCATAATTAACTGTAAATGAAAGGTTGTTCAGGCAACAATCAGGGGCGTTGGAATTTTGTTAGCTTTAGAACTCTGTAAATCTCTTAAAGTGCAGGACATGGCATTTCAGTGAATATAGTTTTTAAATTATCCCGGGGGACATGCCCCTGGACCCCCTACACTGTTACCTATCGTCACCCGCATTCCTCCCCCACTTTTACAGTCGTTCCAACGTCCCTGGTAATAATAAGCTGCTTGAACTGCTAGATCTTCTGTACAACATTTAATTTCTGTTAATTAACCAGCATTTGATCTTTTGTTTAGCCTTATTTCAATACATCAAAATCATCCCACCTTCCAACATGTAAATAGCCCATAAGATACCTGTTCAGGAAGTGGGAAAAATGCAATTTGAATATCAAACACCTTGTACAAAATCAAAGGTTAGCTAAATATTCTAATTCTACTTTCTTAGCATGGCCTGCATGGACGGTATAATATGAATATTTTCAATGCTTATAATTTCTTACTTTTGTATGTATAATTATAATACTGTCTGTGGCAAAGCTAGCCATAACATTTATATTTGCATTATCCAAATGATATACTGTAGCATGACCAGTTGCCATGGCAAGCTAATTGCCACTAAATACTGTATAATATCATATATAGAAATATTAAGTCAGTTTTTGTCCCAATTATTGTTTTAATGCGACCCTTATCACAGAACACCTGAACAATCTGTTTCTGAACAATCAATTAATACATCAGCTTCCGATGACACGATTTATTGTAATGATTAGGATTGTACTCAGTCAGAACTGCAAAACTATATAATAAGAAAGAAATTGTGAGCATTATCAAAAAATATAGTATACCCTGAAATGTAGCAACACAGTCAAGTGAACATATGAGTAGGCCGTTGGAATTATTTCATATTATGCTAACAATGGACATATCTCAGACATATAAACAGACCGTCAAAGAAAAGTCGATCAGTTGACATGCTATTACTGCTAGTAAGTTAATATATGCAGACAAAAATCCACACTGGGTTGCTATATAGGAAGCTTATTAAGCCTGATTATTAATTAATGTAAAGATGTGCATAAATATTTCGTCAACATCATTTGCCAGTCTCAGCAACAGTCAGGGATGGATCCAGCATGGTCTAGTAGGGGGGGTGCTCTGCCAAAAAATTTTTTCGGAAAGCAACAACCTCCCCCCCCCACATCGACAACTTTTTAGGGAAAAAATTTTTCCGGACAAGTACGTTGCAATTGCTTACCAGTGACTTTACACATCCATCAACTTGCTTAACTACTGCAAAGTCTAGCTGCAGTATTTGAATTGTAATTGTTGTTCACAGTTCGCTTATCATGTTATTACTCAAATTACTGAATCTCATTTTGTCTCTGATAATTTTTTGCTTTATCATGAAAAACAGCACCCCCCCTGCACCACTCCTGGCCAGGGCTAGAGGGGGTGTGCACCCCCCTGCACCCCCCCCCCCAGTAAATCCATCCCTGGCAACAGTGGAATATAATCAATGCGCTCTACCACAATGGGTAGATCTATTGTTTTTGCCTCAATGGGCTCTACCGCAATGGGCAGATCAATAGTTTTTGCCTCAATAGGCTCTACCACAATGGGCAAATCTATGACAATGTTATATTGTGCCTCAATGGGCTCTACCACAATGGGCAGATCACTTTTGTTTTGTGCCTTAATGGGCTCTACCACAATGGGTAGATCAATAATTTTTGCCTCAATGGGCTCTACCGCAATGGGCAGATCAATAGTTTTTGCCTCAATGGGCTCTACCACAATGGGCAGATCAATAATTTTTGCCTCAATAAGCTCTACCACAATGGGCAGATCGCTTTTCTTTTGTGCGTCAATGGGCTCTACGGCCTCTACCACAATGGGTAAATCAATGTTACTTTCCACCACAATGGGCAGATTAATGTTTATACTTTGTGCACTACTTGTTTGTGACATCAGATCAATCTCGTACAAAAACATGTTCCTACAACATGAAACACTGACAACTTTTGGTAAGTTATCTACAGACAAGAACTCAATACTTGGTTCTAAGACAATTAAGCCGTTATTCAGAGCTCTTAAGTACATTTTGTCCTCTTGTAATAAGACATTGTTAAATGTTGTTTTTGACCAATCGATCAATTCAGTGGCATATTTTCGGCTGTTAAAATTGCCGATAAACTCATGAAAGCACACTGTTTGCCTCTAGATTGGGCACTAAAAAGGTCATCGCCTTAATGTATATAAGCAGAAAGAAATAAAGCCATACCTACCTGATTTTTCTGAATATTTTCCATCGTTTGCCGTTCGTTTTTAAAAACCTTGAGTCTTGACTTGTCGTCTTGTTCTCGAGCACATTGAAGAAAACATGGATGCGCAATAGAAAAACTATCTCGACCTCCCCCCTCAAAATAATTAAGGTACCAGAGCTTAATTATTTCCCCGGAAATTCGAAATCCCGACAGACACAAGATCGAGATTTCGACAATACATAGATTTCGCGAAAGACTGGGTCGAGTGGACTCTGGAGAAACCACCGCGTGTTAAGAATAGTGTGCTGCCTCGCTACGCTCGGCAGCAATAATAATAATATTTATTCAGGAAGCTCCACTCACCGAAGTGTTTTTCAGGGAGGTCCTGTAATATATATCTATATTATACATGGTATTCGTAAACTATACGTCTATGCTTATTTAAAAACTATAAAATATTTACAACTGGATTATATATAATTATACTTCATAGTTAGAAAAAACTCAACTTAATTAGATAAATTGTTCAACTTAATTAGATAAATTGTTTTAGTTTTGATTTAATGAGATTAAGATTAGTAGATTGTTTCAGTTCAATACGTAAAGAGTTCCATTCCGATACCGAGTGATAAGTGAATTGCTGTTTTCCCCAATTCGTACGTGGAAGGTGGTAATTGTATATACTGGATCTATACATTTATCTATAGTAGATCGATACAGAAAGACTATGAAAGAGGAGAGACTTGGTGCACTAAATAAATAGTTGCAAACATCATTGTTCTACTCAAGTTGAAATATTTTAGTTTGGTTACTTGATGAATGTATAAACTTGATCAATATTTTCAACTTATCCACCGTTTAAGCTAAACGTAAAACGGGCTTCGAACAACCGGCCCCTGGTTTTTGCACAAATTTTGATCATTTCGAGTTCCGAGTGAAAATCTTAATATTTTTGAGGAAAAAGTGCGAGGAAAAAGTGCGTTAGGGACCGGTCATAAATTACAGGGGAGGGGGGGGGTTGGGGGGGCTGGTGGAAAAAGAGGGGGTCAGATATTTTTGTGCATGAAAGAAGGGGAGAGGGGGGCAAAAATGGTTGTTCAATATAAATGCCTGCCCCGCGTGACCTAGCCTGCTCGCAGCCTGAAATTTAGAAGGAGAAAATGACCCCGTCGTACCATAAAACCTACAGATAAAAAATAGAGTGCAGTAGAACTGTAGTAAACTCCAACACAACACCATTTATTAAACTGATTTCAACATAAACATGTACATTGGAACAGCCGTTGACTCAATAAATGGTAAAGAATATATAAATTACGACACATGTATATAGAGTATAGTTGCCAACTCTCATGGATCCACCATGGACATCGCAGATTTTACTAAAACCACACGGTGAGCTCACAGCTTGTTAATATCTCACAGATTTCGAAAATAATTCAACTGGTTCTTAAATATGCTGGCTTTGTTGCACATTTTAACTATTATAAAGAGTGACTTCATTTGCATCAAATTACATAAAACTTTTTTCTTCTGAAAAAATTCACGCCATTAAGTCAAAAATAAATAATCAAAACATCACTTCATGCAACCTTGTACTCTCTTGGGTATTCAACAATATGGTTTTGTATATCTAAATAAAAGCTACCAAAATGTGTCTGTACAAGGTTTAGAAAACTCTGAAAATGCCATTTCCAACGATGTAGACACTCCACATTTTCAAAATGTTTCCGCTCGGCGCCAACTATGGTTGCCGCCTCGTGCCTCAAGCAAAATCTCACGGATGTTTTTGTCTCAAAGTTAGCAACTATCATAGGGTAGTATGATTAAATGCGGCTTCACCGTATATGAACTTTTAAATTACGAATGTGTCTTTTGTTATTTGCATGTGGGGGTGGGGCGGGGAGGGGGGGGGTCAAGTATAATTGTGTTATCCTCAAGGGGGCCCAACAAGATTTTGGCATCTAATTTTTCATTTCCACCAGCCCCCCTCCCCTGTAATTAATGACCGGTCCCTTAGTTTTCAGTTTTTGCTCTGCTTGTAGATGAAACAATTCACTCGAAAGGAATTATATTTCTTGTTTCAGGTAAGATTCAGGTTGTTTCACGAAACTTTGTTTTTTTTAACTTTTTTTTTAGATTCTAGCTTGCCAAAGCGTGGCAATTTAACTTGCCATTTCGATGGAAAAGCATAAATACGTTATGTCAAAAACTACCGTTGTAAACAGCAAATGTATAATATTGCTACAATCCTGGTCAAAAATGTTGGCGCACTTGACACTGACAGTGCGAAATTTGACTCCCACTTCAATAACAAGCATAGCAACCCCCCTTTCCCCTGTTCAATGTTGTGTGTTAGACGTTCAAGGTGTTACACAACATTGATAAGGGGGATAGGGGGTGTCTGAACATGAAATTTTGCATAAAATGGGCAAGTATGTATATGGTAATCAGAAATGAAGTAAGGTTATGCTATTTAGACTAAGTGCGCCATTGCAAATAACACTGTACGAATAAGCGTAGCGAATGAGTAAAATATTGCTTTCACCACGAGAATGCCCTTTTAGAGAGCCTAGATTACAACATTTCCTGTGGGTGCATGCCCCTGGAACTCCTCTTGAGGTTTGTCACGCCTATAGCCGCCTCTCATTTACCGAGACGAAAATATTTCCTTTCTGCAAGCATGTGATTATGAAACTATGCTGTCATAGATAGTCGTAACTGCAGGTGCTGGCAAGGCCTCCCAGAGGGGTGGAGGTGGCAATTTGCCCTGGGCCCCAGTTAAAGAGGGAGGGGGGGGGGGGTGTCAAATAAAAAATTACAGTTAAGATATAAATATAGATAACTGTCAACAGACATCCAGAATTCAGGATTTGACCATTTCGCGACCTCAGATTTCAAAAATTTCTAGACCCTCCTAATCATAGTGTTAGAAGATGGAATCACGAGGGGGGCCCAAGTCAAATTTTGTCCTGGGCACCCAAATTTCCCTGGGTGCTGTGCAGTGTATGTTGGTTTTGGTATTTTTGAATATCAATGGACCTTTAACCTTATAACTAAAATTTTGATCTAGACAAAAATTTCATCACAGCTTGAAAGAGCATCACAAAATTAGTAATATTCCAAAGTTTCGTTACGAAATGTTGTAAAATGCGGATAATATAGCCCTGCGAAGTTTGCAATTTTCAGTCATTTTAGATTACAAACGGGAAATTGATACCCAAATCGGGTGTTGGGGATCAATTTCCCGTTTGTAATCTAAAATGACTGAAAATTGCAAACTTCGCAGGGCTATATTATCCGCATTTTACAACATTTCGTAACGAAACTTTGGGATATTACTAATTTTGTGATGTTCTTTCAAGCTGTGACGAAATTTTTGTCTAGACTTGTCTAGATCAAAATTTTAGTAGCCTGTTTTGCGGTTACACATTATTATAAGGGTGTGTTCAAAATTTTCAGGGCGTGCTTCTGCTCGGCTAAACTTTGCAGTAAACACGAAGCTCTAGGAAGATATTCTGTGACTGGTTGATTATGACAATGACAAAAGACGTAATTGGCTACATTGTTCTTGCTTCGTTCTTTAGAAAATCCATTCTATAGCTTATTCTTTTGTCATTGTCATAATCAACCAATCACAGAACATCTTCCTGAGCTTCGTGCTGACCCAAACTTTGCAAAAAGATGTGCAGGTATAAAAAAAATTAATAAATTAGGTACGATATAAAACCATGCATCAGTTAATAAAACAACACAGAAAATAAAACAGCACTCATTGTCAAGATTGAAGACACTAGACTGGAGTGTGGAAACGTTGGGTCGTGAATGCAGTTCGACTGAGCTTTGCATTCATTTATCAAAACCAAAGTAGCGAGCGAAAACATGGCTGATATTATACCTGGTTGCCGTGAACTCACAAGCTTTAAATCATTAAATTTATTAAATTCTTTGTCAATGGTGCTCCGGCACAAAATCAATTTGGAAAAACAGACTAAATCGAATACAATTGCCAATTGGTCAACCCCGATAACTAAGTTTGTTTCTCCTGGCTAAGCAAAGTGTGCAATTACAATCTACAATCACAAAACACTGCAATTAATGCTCAAATTGCACTCAATTGCAATTGGCGATAGTTTCAATTGCACTGAAATTATCAACTAATCAGATTGCAGCAACTGAGCCTCGTTAAAAAAGAACATATCGCTATAATATTAAAAAAATTAGACAACTCAAATTTAACAAGACGCTCTATGGAGCGTTAACTCGCTGGGGCTATGCAAATATGCACATTACTGTATATATGGTACAACAATCAAATGAATAGTTGTCACCTGACTCTTGTTGCAAAATCTTTATGCCTGCTCTTATAAAAGCATATGTAGCAGATACAGTTAGCATACTCTTCTTTGTCGTTAATTTGAGCCTGCTACTGTTGGTTAGGGGTGGTATAACACTTAGGGTGGGCGACTAACTTACAACAACATAATGTGCACCTTTAAAACATGTGTAAGACGAGTTGTGGTTTAATTGGTTCCCTGCCGTGCTTTGAGGTTTTTCTTCAGATTTTATAGCATTGTTACTCTATTCAAAACATGCCTCCTGTTATTTAAGCTGTATTACTGGAAATTCAGCACACAGCTGGGACAGCATAATTTTTCTTTAAAAGTTAGGAATGTAAGGTGAGCTAGGTGACCAAAGTTTTGCCAAGGCATGTCCTCAAAATTTTCCAAAACCAATTAGTAGTCATTGACTTTTCAGTACATCTCACTTAACCGTTTATACATCTCACTTTTCTTCCAGAAAAGGTGTTTTTAAACACCCATTATTATTTGAGGGGGTGGGCCTGGGTCCGAAAGGAATGGGCCCCACATTTTTGAGTTCACCCCCCCCCCAACCAGATAGCGTTAGGTACGTCCCTCTTCCTGTTATCACCCACCGAATTTTGGTTCTGACTGGGTAGATATGTTTAATGCTTTCCTCAACCAAGCGTGTGATCAATTCAATAAGTTAATGATTTCTGGTGACTTCAATATGGCACACATTTCCTGGAATAACACATCAAACAGCATCCCAACTCGAAATAACAACATCCTTGACCTTATTATTACCAGTGTACCTGAACATGTTAACATAACTGATGTGGAATCGCTAGACAACGCCGTCGTTTTTACAGACCATTGTGTACTCCACTACGAGTTTAATGCATTTGTTGAAATTCCAAAAACAAGAGTCAAAGATTTGTTTACAACTACAAAAAAGCAACTTTGAAAGCACTATCCATTACGCATAGTACGTGCACGGACTACGGATGTTTCGTTCATATCTTCGGTTCAGTAAACGCTATGTAGATAAAAAAAAAATACCACCAATCGATTCAGTGTAAAAATATATACTAATTCATAACGATAGTTTTAGTCAATGGCTACATTATAGCGATTTATGAGCTTTGAAAGTCAAGCGAGCTCATATATGATCAAATTACGCATTTTACCAACGAATTATAAAAACATAAACATACCTTTCGCCGAATATACTGTAACTTAGGCCCCTTGAGACGTATGCACATTGCGATATTCTTCATGAATGAAGCATTTAAAACGACATGTATAGACAGTGTTATTTTCAAGCTTCTATCTTTAAAGTGTGACTTTTAGTGCCGAATTTTACATTTCTGCTCCGAATTTGCGATAATCCCAACCGGAAATACGACGAAAAATTGTCAAAACAATGCTACGCTTGTATCGCGTGACTCTGGCCAGAAATGGATTCTACAGGTCAAAGTGCACCTATACGCGTGAGTTTGACGTCATCCAGGCTAAAGGGAGCTCCTTATTGGCCAAGTATTACGTAATACAAGCGCATGCGAGTAAAACCCGATACCTTGAAAAATTCAAAATAAATATTTCTACTCGCCGTATTCATACGAAACTTTCTACACGAAAGCGCTTGAATACAAAGAGTATTTTACACATATAGCCTTTCAGAAAATGACGAAAAGTTTAGAAGATATTCAACTTTTTCTCGTTTGAATGTTTGGCGAAGCGGTGAGTATAAATATATGATTGTTTCGGTTTGTGTAATGTTTTTACGGCACTTGACCCCCCGTTCGAAAGGTTATTTTGTGAGGATTACAATGGTGGGTTTTGTTTTAAAGGGGGTAAATACTCGCCGCGATAGTTACATTAGAAAAATTGAATCGCAATGTAATGCGAAACCACTTGTCGAGAAAGAGGTTATCTACCATTGACTTAACTCTGTGTATAGAACACGACAATATTAACGACTGGACATCTTGGAGAAATACTTTTCTAGGCGCTGTTTCAAAATATGTCCCAAGCAAAAAACTAAAAGGACGAAAACAACTGCCCTGGATAAACGGAACGATTTTACATCTGATTAAGAAAAAGAACATTGTGCGGAAAAAACTAAGATCGTCCCCCTAACGAGTCATCTACGTGAAAAACATCTATACGTGCCACGATTAAACGTATGTTACATGAAAGTCGAGGACAATTTTATGTATCTTTGGGGAACAACTTCCAAGACAATCCAAAACGATTTTGGTCCTCAATGAAACATCAGTCCAAAACGCGCAATATCCCAGATACAATCTCTACAGCTGGAACAAAGAACGATCAAGAATCCCAGTCACCCAGGATCAAAGCAGACAACTCTGATGATATCACGTCCATGTTTAACAGGTTCTTTGCATCAGTATTTGACTCTAATGACTCCTTAAGGGAAGAATAAACCAACATCGTTCCCAGGGCTTTCGTGTGAGGACGAGGGGAGAGACAAGAAAGGATCATATTTTCATGTCACGCAATCACGAAACCTGACCCAATCCCCATCTCTAACCAATCATATTTCGTGACTGCGTGACATGAAAATGTAACCCGAGAAGGCCCTGGTCTGGGTCTGTCATGTGACTACCCAAAATATAGATATATTTGACAGCTACTCGTCAAGGAGTGGCAAAATATTCTTAACTGAAAAAGACAAGTCTTTGAAACAAATAAACAGCCAAAACACTTCTCAATCGATATTATATATGTGTAGCGAAGTTTGGCACGAATCAGCTGAAATCTCTGAAGACACCGTCGATGTTTTCTGAGATATACCGATATTTCTAGAGATTTTCAAGCACAGCGAGGACGTGACAGGCAAAAGCCAAAGGCACAACTGTATCTCTTTATCTCAACATGATTTCCAAGCAGTACCTAGGCTTATCCAAGTGGCGATTCACACGAAATTTGCTTTCTCTCGTCTTGAACAATATGGCTTTGCCTTTAATATTTGGTTTAAATATGCTCTTAGACTTAGTTCGATATAAATAAACACAAATATAAAACCTCGCGTAACGGCGTAACCTATTTCCTTACGGACCCTTACGCTGTACAGGAAATACACGGATTCGACACCAACAGTTGCCGTTCAGAAGCAATGCTGGCCTACAAATTTTATCCCCCTTCACAATCTATGTTTTATTTTATCGTATAATCGCAATTTTCAAGTATTCGGAGTATTCTGAAACTGTAAAATTCGGTGTCGTGACAAGCGAATCTTGTACAGGCTACATAGCCTACGCGCATGAGCTAAGTAAACAGGGCCTAAGGGCCTGTTTATATGGAAGCCGGGCTGGCCCGCTATATAAGCGAAACAGCCCGGTAAGCGGGATCTCGATGTGTAGTTATTTTTATAGTAAAAATTATCGTGGGTTTATATGGACAAGCGGGCTGGCCCGGTTGCCGAGATCTCGCTTGAAAGAGGCGAGATCTCGCCTACCGGGATGGAAATTTCTCCATATAAACACTCACAAGCGGGCTAGCCCGGTTGCCGGGATGAAAGTTCAAAGATACTGCCGCAAGCTAATTTTAACAACTGTCAAAACAATACAATGTAACAAAATTGTCCCGGCAAGCGGGATGAAATTTTCTCATATAAACACAAGAGAAATTCATCCCGCTTACCGGGCTGTCTCGCTAAGCGGGCCAGCCCGGCTTCCATATAAACAGGCCCTAAATTTATAAATTAGTAGTTTCATTTAATTGTTTGTCTTGCTTTTATTTGTCAGTATAAAATGTTGTAAATTAAAGTATTACTGCAATGCAATACGCGTAGTATTTCATCAGACATCTGCACTACATTATAAATGCTGTACAAGGAAAACTACAGCTTAATAATAGTAGACGTTTCTTGTTTTGTCAGGAAATATCACAGCTCACGTCGATATGGCTTTTCAGTTTTGTAACCGGCCGAGGCGAAAGTAAATCATGCAGTCGGCAAAACTGAAAACTTCTTACTTTGAAAGATTATTTTATCATTTATAGACCCTCCGCTCGGGGGATTCGGCGGAATATTACCCGAAGTGGTAATTTGGTAGTGATACCCTGAGGGTAATATTTCGACGAATCCCCCGAGCGGAGGGTCTATAAATGATATATTATACCGAGAGTTAAAGAACCCACCAAGTTCAGAATAAACTTTAAAACTTGAGCTCAATAGACAATACAATTTTTAACTTCTTATGTATACCCGAGTTTTTTAAAATATTTGAGCATGTATCCTTTGGATCATTGAAGGTAACATACGTCTTGAAAATCTTTGGTTAACTTAAATCAATAAATCTTCTGTACGAAATTACAAACAACAGCTCACGAACGCCATGTTGTTTCAGAGTGTGGTGTCCACGCGTCACGCGTGAGATACTATAATATCCCAAGGTGGATCCACCGTGGGATATTATAGTATCTCACGCTGCATTGCGAAATCATGAATTTGAGTAAATACCGTAAAAAATCACATTGTCACGTGGTACAAATGCTGTTTTTTTATAGGAAATTTGAATTTGAGGTATAATATTGCAAAATATACAAGTACATTGTTATGTCCGGATTGAATTGATATATTGAATTGTTATATCAACTGTCAAGTTCTGCTATTTTTAGACAATATGCCTATATGGTGTTAGCCAATCAGAATGCAAAATTGACCGGCCCAGACCAGGGCTTTCTCGTCTCTCCCCTCGTCCTCATACGAAAGCCCTGGGAACGAGGTTGGGAAGAAACCAGCCCAATCTCGTTCCCCGAGCCTGCGATCCTCGGGAAGGAACGCGAGGCTCTGGGATAATCCGTTGCCGGAAGCCAGGAATCCTGGCTAAGAGAATCCTGGCTAAGATTGAACTACGCATTCCATTTCAACGGCCAATCAGATTCCTCCCTGAAACGGATTATCCAAGAGCCTCACGTTCCTTCCCGAGGATCGCAGGCTCGGGGAACGAGATTGAAACCAGCCATGAACTAGAGACTACAGTCTTGTCTGAGATCATTCTGATAGTTGAGGAAGTTCAAGCAGTTCTTCAAACATTGGATGTTACAAAAGCCACAGGACCTGACAACGTCCCAGCCCGTCTGCTTAAAGATAGCCTGCGTGCAGCCTGACTTTTTGATGGGGAAGGAGGAAGGACTTTTCCCCCTTCCCCATCGAAAAGCCAGGCTGCACGCAGGCTACTTAAAGAAACAGTTCCTGTTATTTCAACGTCTTTGTGCACGCTTTTTAATAAGTCCCTAAGTCAAGGTGCTCTCCTGGAAGATCGCCAACATAATTCCTGTGTACACCCTCGGGGATTTCGCAAGTGACCACGTAATACAGATTGACCGCTTAACACAGGTCTTGTAGAAAATCACAGCACGGCTTAAATTACTTGAATAATACGTCCACACAAACTGAATATATTGTTGATACTTTCAGTGATTACGGAATTTCGAGTAATGAGATAAACAAAACTTAAAGACTATGTCAAGTCCGTAATGTAAATTAACAAATCCTTTGTTTACATTTTGAACTGCTATATTTGTAAAATAAGACATGCTAACTGAATATCTAACACTTTTCTGGTTCGCTATTGTAAATGAATATAAACTAGAGTATATTTGAATTCAAAAAAGTTCGAAAGATGCAAAATTTGGGCAATGTTTATATCGAATCTAAAGAACGTTATAAATCAACATCACCGATGCCTTAATAATTCCTCATTCTACTCGACCTCATTCAATAATTGTTTATTATGCAATGTATGTCTGCTAGCAAAAACATCATTCAAATGCTCGCATAACGGCCATGCACTGCATTTGATGACCACATTGTGCTGCACTCTATTTAATACGTTTAGAGTAGAACGCAATTGAATCAATGCAAAAATCATCCGAAGAAACCACCAGCTGTGCGCAACACTGTGAAAGCTGTTTCTACATCGAGTACAAACAACGTTCAAGATAAACAAGCTAAATTATCCTTTCGTTGTCCGAGTTGGAACTGTCGCAGTTTGTTTGGTATCAAGATAAACAAGCTAAAGTATCCTTTCGTTGTCTGAGTTGGAGCTGTCGCAGGTTGCACAAATTACCTAATCGCGAAATGATGCGTAACCACACTAACCTTCTGGATTTTGTCCAACTATCAGACGCTCCTCACAAATTTGTGTTAGATGTTGTATGCCAGTTTTGATGTCTTCATTGCCTTGCTGAATACCAACCAGCATACGGTTAGAATCTTCTTCTCTCAAAAACCATTCTTCAAGACGCTGCACATACATGTCTTCTTCGGGACCCAAAGGACAAGTTTTCAAATCATCAGTCTCTTTTTGTGGAATGCCCAAGCCGACCAATACTTTAGAAATATTTTCCCATAAACTCTCAAATGTTGCTTCATCTACTTGGGTTGAATTGGCATGAGCATAAACTTGCTTTCTGAACATCTTGATTCTTGTGATGTTTGCTTCCAACGAGACAGTTTTGTCCAGTGGCATCGTGGTCCACACTGTGTCTGTAGGAGGAGATAAACAACAAATGTTCCGTAAAAGAACAACAAGTAATGTGACATCAAAGCTTTTCGAGTCTGCAGGTGGGCTGCCGCACGGAGGGAACAATAATTTCCACTGGTTACCATTGATAACTCCAGGCCTCAACTTTAAAAGGGATGCTTTGTTCACTTTAAGAGCTGCAGGTAGATTAGCTGGATGTAAGGCATCGAATGTAACCCTTAAAGCTTCAGTTCCTTTATCCACTATAAGTCTACTAAGCCTTGTAAAATTTGCCTTTTCTTTCAGATTGTCCGAAGCCATGACATAGATGTAACTGCAACAACAAAAAAATTAAACAAATAAAGACTAAAGTTTAATATTAAACTATACTAGAAATACAAGCATGTCGCAACCCCTCGCAAACCGAAGAACTATATATAGTTCCTAGCCTCCTCCGCAGGCATCGCCTTTCGATTATCGGGCAAAATTTCTTGCAGGCAAAAAAATTAATAGCGGCGATGCCTGCCAAACCCGAAGACTTTGGACCAGCTATGTAACCCTTGTGGACCGACTATGTTACCCCCACCCCCATGGGATTAATTGTTCATATCAAAACTACTACAAAATGTCAAAAGCTGTGTTATCCCTACTCCCATAGGATACGACTTTTTATATTCAGACACAATTCGAAAAAATTCGATCGAAAATATCATTTTTATGTTGCAAATTGAAACAAATATGAATGAAACATTGATTATTTTGCACTTACAACGGATGGCCGGAGTTTAACGAAATACAGATGGTCAAACCACGCCGAAACTATGTAAATCGTATTGAGAGACGAAGTGTGAAATGTGAATGGAATTTATAAGAATTTTTGCAACCGTTCAATTTATATTTGGTCTGTATATCCTACATGCTTATCATCAAATATTAATACTTTTGGGAAATGGAATACTCTAGAAGGCAGATGGAGTGTTAAATGTCAAAATTTCAACTGGATAATGGATGCTCTTGCCTCTTGGAATTGTCGATTACTGTTATACGTATAGTGGACGTGCATGACATTGAAACTGGTTTGTCAACACAAATTTTGAGATATTTCAGCAAAGAACAAACTTCAAATTTACAATCCCATGTGTTTTTACGCTGTATTTTACTCGTTAGCGAGAAATATCTCGGGGATTTGTTGAGTACATGAACAGCATGTAAACTATGTAAACGCTGAGTAAACTGCTTAGGGCTGACTGTGCTTGTATTAAAACACAAATTCCAAGCAACTATTGTGCAAGTTGACCAAATGTAAGAAGTGTTTACATATTCAATAATTATAAATCAAGCAAAGTTATACAATTTATATAACAACAACAACAACAACAACAACAACAACAACAACAACAACAACAACAACAACAACAACAACAACAACAACAACAACAACAACAACAACAATTTTATTATAGCTATAAATATTTACAATAACAATCTGTCCGCAGGTAGCAAAAGCTAATCGAGGCGGACAATTACAAAATAATTAAATTAAGGATAAATATTTGAGATGTAGTTTACAAAAGGTGAAAGAATAATAAGAGAAACTATAAGAGAAATAATATTACGTGATTTAAAATTACGCAGTTGCAATTTAGCATAAGCATCAACAAAAAATAATAAAAGGAACAAGGTAAGAACATAGATATGCGGTTACCTATAATTTAATTTATGTTTGAAATTTTTTATTATTGTAGCGAGATCAACATAATCCTCCTCTATAGTAAGTATAGATAACAATATCTCATGCAATTTTCTCTTGAATTTGTTTTTAGAAGAATTACACAAATCATCAGATATACTATTCCATATCCTGACTCCTGTTCTTGAAAATGACCTATGTAACTTGTCCAAACGCGAACTTTTAACATAGAAGTTGCTGCCAGAGGAGAACCTAGTGTTACATTTGTTAACTTCACGCGCCGGGATAAATAAATTTGAAATATTTAACGGCGTCATTTTGTTATAAACATCGTGCATTAGCATAGAAACAGACTTAAAATAAAGCATATCGATAGGTAAAATTTGATCAGAAAAAAAAAAGGGATCGCATGGGATCTATACTTCCCAAAGTTCATTAATCGAAGAGCACGCTTTTGAAGCTTAAAAATCTTGTTAAGGTAAACCCTAGCAGCTTGACCCCATAGAATAATACCATACGAGGTATATGGTAATATAAGAGATCTGTATATATCCGATGTAGTACTCCTTGGAACAAAATGTCTTAATTTGGCAATAATGCCAATTGATTTACTTATTTTCGAAGCAACGTAGTCGATATGATCTTTCCATGTGAGGCCACTATCAATAAGTACACCCAGATATTTAACATAATTTTTATGCTCCAGAGAGCTAAATGTATTTGAATGATTGTCGAATATTTTCAGGTCTACCTGATAATCTAACCTTTTCTGGTGAGAGTGGAAAATGACAAAATTAGATTTTTTAACGTTAAGAGATAATTTGTTTGCAGTTAACCAATTATATAATTTGATTAGATCGTGATTAACAGTAGTTTCCAAGGACCTTAGATCATTGTCAGCATATAATAGATTGGTATCATCGGCAAACAAAGATAATTTTAATTTATCGGTATAGTTATATATATCGTTAATGTAAATAAGAAATAACAGTGGTCCTAAAACCGATCCTTGAGGTACGCCAGAGAGCACTGTCTCTTTATCTGATACTACAGTACCAATCTGCGTTGTTTGAATGCGATTTAGTAAATATGACGAGAACCAATCATTAATAATTCCACGTATTCCATAATGCTGTAATTTTTGTAATAATATGGAATGATTTACTGTATCAAATGCTTTCTGTAAATCAATGAAGATACTACATGTTTTTATCCATATTTGTTTGAATTTGATTCACAATGTCAACTATGCCATACAGGGTTGACCTACGTATGTTAATGGAATGAATCGTAAAGCCCTTGTTATAACGTAGAGATAGTGACGGGCAGCATGATCATAGGCATTTTTGTTTCCTTCAAGTATCTACACACAAGAATAGTAAAAAATGCATCGGTAAAAACAAGGGCGGTCAGAATAAAAGGCTTAAGAAGGTACATCATTCTTTCTCACCTCGGTTTTCCAGTTCACCAAATTAACAGTATAATTCATGTTACATGCGGCCACCCATTTTGGGCGGGTACTGTCACCATATGTTACGAGTTCATAAAGATAATACAATCTTCCTAAGTCGATCTGAAGATAATGTTTGTTATCCGAGACAGGAGCGCACCAAGAACTACCACTAGATATCCTTGCATTAGAGGCACTGTGACCTTCTGTAGAAGCGAAAACTAGTTTTCCTATCTCTGAGGATGGTTCTGAAATAGAATTGAAACACTGCGCGTCCTCAAAGACAAGCGTTAAGTCGTCACGAAAATATTTCGTGCACTTAAATTGGATAAGACTCGCTACCAATCCCTGTTGACTCGATAGCTCAATAGGTAGAGCGGCGGTCTAGATACCCGAAGATGCGAGTTCAAATCCCGCTCGAGCCAACGAATTTTTCGTTGCTCGATTGCAGTGTCAGATTAATATGAAACTAGTTTTCTGTAGAAGCAGAAGCACTAAAAGACGAATCAGGAATTCTTCGTTTATCTTCTAACAGTGGTTTATACCAAAAACCTAAAATATGAAAATAGAAATTTAAATATCCTATATTTTGATGAACGATTGATCACATTCTCATGGTTATTTCTCGAGTGTCTCTGTTTATTACCCATCACATTCTTTTTTCATTCTTCCTTTAGCTATTTACTTCCTACTTCATTTTATATATTTACTCCCAATGTTTTACCTTTGAATCGTACTTATTCTTTCTTATCTTAGCTTTATCTTACCACTTACCAGTAACACAATCTATGTATGATAACTCAGAACAACTGTTGCTGGCTGAAGCATTAATGGAACACTGGGACAAGTATCTCTCTTCACCATCACAGTTAATACTTCCAGAAAATGTTGCATTTTTGGCATTGGCTGGAGTGGATATATTGACAAGAGTGTATCCCCAATAGTAGTGCCAATAGTAGTAGTCCCAAGTGTTGTCCCAAAAGTATCCCAGATAACGACAAACAATATACACGGCCGAGTTCTTTAAATTTCCCCAACAAACATTCTTGATTCCGCTATCAGTGGTAGTTTGTACAATACCTTTGTAAGGTAGAGATGGATATGGCAGAGATACATCATAAACTACAAAACACGAAAAGAACAAGTTAGGTTATCGGTTATTTTGCCCAGTATAAGGCTACAATGGATGTGGCTGATATGTGGGGAACATGTACATGGCAAGTGTGTATCAAATTGAGTTTGAACAGTTTTAAACACTATGGGAGCTTGTCTTGTGCACGGCCTTTGAGAGAAATTCACTATAATTGAAACTACCAGTTGTAACTATCAACAGAACTATATTTTATACCCATGCGTACCACAAAGATCTTTGTAAGGTTTCACACAATCAATACATTGATGTGCAAGGTAAAGATAGTTTGACAATCCAGGACATAGATCACCAGAGAATAAATTATCATCCACAGTTATACCACATTCATGTAGACCATCACATTGTTTCTTAGCAAGACATGTTACATCAACTTCACAACTATAATCATCACTTGAACCACATGTCTTTGGCGCAAGCAATCCACGATAAGATGCAAACTTGACCACCATGTATTTATTGATCTTTAGGACAGTTGGCATTCTTCACTTTATCATCATAATATGTCACTGAACCTTTAATAGAACAACAGACGTTTTCACTTTAAAACTATGCCAGGGTATAATATTTTTGGCAAAAATTATTTTCAGGTCGTGTTTGTAGATCTTAATTGGCTTGAGTCCACGACGGCGAAATTCTTCGCGCGAAATTGTGTATGCGAAATAGGGATGGTTGCACGTGATACTTTGCTACTTTATTCGCTTTTGCAGTGAGTAGTACTGATTTTTATTCAAAGCGAGTTTTTTTCTCGCTAAGATTAATCTATCTTTACTACGCATGCGCGAATTCATTAAAAGCGCTCGTGAATCAGACCTTTGAATAGCACAGCTGCTCATGCTGGGTATACAGAACATTTGATTCAATTAACACGTGAGCGAGAAAGACAGTATTGTAATAATTGAAAACATTTTTACAGCTTTTCTTAAATTTTATGCACAGCGTCAGGTACCAAAGTCAGGCACAAGAAAAATGTTCAACAGAAACTTACCGAAAATAAATCTCTGATTGTAATAGGTGGGAAAACATCGTGTTGTCAATCCGACGTAGCGATATATTCCATAACTTTTATATCGTTCGTAACTATGTACATATCGTGCACACCAGGTTTGAAGTGAACTCTTATTTTCCCCTTTAAAATAAACAGATAATCCTCCCTCGGGTGTCTGGGTTATAGCACGATAGATACCCTCGTTAGGCTTTTGAGCACAAGCAGCTGTATCTAAACTGACTGAGTCAACGTAAAGATAAAACATATCAAGATCATAACCAGAAACATTCATGTTAAAAGCAGCGGGACATCCCTGTCTTTTTAGATTTAACATGGCACCATTATCACGAAACCGAAACTGAGCAGCTGGATCCAGACAGTTGTAGGAAATTTCCAGAAAAAACAAGTTTCCCCAACTGCCATTTGAATGTATTTGACCTGTGTCCTTAATACACAACCCTTTGTCTATGGTATAGTCATAGTCTATGGTATAGTGATAGTGATAGTAATAGTAATAGCCATGAGCATTATGCGATCTCACAAAGAAGCACGTTGCGCCTGAAAGAAAAAACAATACAAAAATAAAATTGAATGTATAGGTAAGGGACCGGTCAATATTTATGGAAGGGGGGAGGGAAAAAATGAGAGGGGGGGCCGTATGTATAAATAAATTACTAGAAAGGTGGGCTATTAAGAGGGAGTTGCAATTATATTTGAAGGACTCATTTGCTTAATAAGCATGATATCCATTTGGTTGTATGTAATTGCGGCTAAATCATGGTCATTGATGTGAAATAGTCTGGATTTATCTTGTCTTCTGTGTGCTGTATGCAAATCAGTCTTTACTGATTGCAGAGATAAATGGACAATGTATTATTACATCAGATATATTGATGTGGTTAAATACATTTAGGCAATTATGGTTAACGGTGAATGTATTATGCAGGCCACATCCACTGAGGGGAGCCTGTGGCGTCATGTCGATTAAAGGGGGTTGTTTCGCGCCTTGTTATCAGTGCTTCGGTCTGGGTATTCATTTTGCTATTGTATGCTTTGCCTAGCTGCAGCAAGTTTAGCGCTTAGATACCTTTTCCCTACCCACCCACCCATGTTTATTCTATAGGATTTTATCTGGTAGTATGTCATTTTATTTTATATAATTTTTAATCTCACATAAATTAGGATGTATAAACCACTATACTAATACATTTTATTTCGTTTCCACTGACTTGTCATTGTGACTGGTGCCGAAGCCCGGAGGTATGCCTTTGCAGAATGTCCAGAATTGTCATGGCTATCTCCGTTTGCTGCTAATATTACTTATTGTTACTGTCACTGCTACGCAGCTGCTATGGCAATAGTTCGTGCCGTCAAATCTAGTTACAACCTTGGACCACAAAAGGCACCTAGCTCCAAACACTAATATTAATTATCTGCCGTTAAACATGGTTACAATCGCCCAGACCAAATGGAAACCTGATTTTAGAGTTATATATGAAAATACCCCTCTTTTAGTTATAATTTTCTGCTAATATATATTTTTGGTCGACGTTAATATCTTGTCAGCTCCATATTCTTATTTAATTAACTAATTAACATTATAACGCCTGCGTATCCCCATTCGTCGAGTAGAAATGAAAATGGTGGGGAGGTCAAAATATTCTAATATGTAGGGGAGTCGTCATTAAATTTCTGCTTTTTTAAGGGGGGCTTTCAACTTAAAAATTTAGGAAAGAAAAAATTCCCTCCCCCCCCCCAAAAAAATGACCGGTCCCTAACGTTATGGTCTTTTACGATTTTTATTTCTATACATTGCAGTGTAAATATCAGACTTATTTTTCAATCACTCAATCTCCTTTGTTTTTTAGAGAAAATATATTAATATTCCCTGCCAGTTAAGTGTGTGAAAAGCTGGGGGCGGTTTTTGATTTCAAAAGGAGAGAGCGGGGCTGAAAACAATGACCAAATTCAATGGCAAAAAATAGATTAATAATCCCCTGTTATATCCCTCTAATATATTCCCTCTGATATTCCCCTCTAATATCCCCCCCCCCCCTTCCTTGATCATCATGCTTTGTCTTTTTTCTTTCTGAAACAAAAGTGATTTCTTTCTATTTTGTCTCCTAAATTGTAATCTCGCGAATGTGAAAAATAAGTACGTTATTTTGAGGCACTTAGCCGTTTCGCGCCTTGGTGATTAAATCACACATCCCCTCGTTGCCTCAAAATAATCTATACTAATAATCATCAGTCCGGTTAATTGGTTATGCAAAATTTTCTTATTATTGTATTCGTTTATTATAAAGTTACAGAGAAATTCGCGATCCTGACAAAAATGACGTACTATACAGCGGTGTAAAAGACAACCTGCACAGTTCGAAAATGTTTGCTAGACTGCAAATTCCGCAAAATTTGTGAAAACTTTATGCAAGCAGGCGTAGTTTGGGGTCTGCTAGTTTCTTTAGTTTACCACTAAAATTATTCTTAAAACGTTTGAGTACAGGATATGGGTTGTTTTAATTAAAAATCACTCTAAAAATGGCTTGCGCACAAAAATGAAAGACTTAAAACGTAATTTGAATTCATAGGGTGCAAAATTGGTGGTTTATGAACTATCAAAGTACCAGACAGTTTGATGTACACTAAATCAAACGCGCGTTTCCTAATGCATGACTGATTTTATGCATGATTGATTTCTTTACAAAAAGTTTTAAAATTATGCGTGACAGGCATATGGAAAAAGCCAAGATTTGGAGGCAGTATACATAGGACTTAATATACATAAAATTGTATGGAACTTTGACAGTTCATTAAAAACAGTCCTCCTGCACTTGATAATTTAGTTTCAAAATAACTTTTGTGGTAAAGAGATTAGCAGAGCCCAAACTACCCATGTATGCATAACTAGTTTTCAAAAATTGTACGGAATTTGCACTTTAGAATTTGAACTGTGCAGACTTTTATGGACCCTGTATAATCGCATGAACTTAAACTTCAGTTGGACATTCTTCACGCTAAGCTTCAATTAGCCTATATGATTTTTGTTATGAAGGAAACTGAAATCAGGCAAATTTAAAGACGGATCTAAGATCATCTGTGCTTATGAGCGAAAGCCTTCCGTCGTCGCAAAGTTATTAGGGAGCTTTAAATTTCACTACGACTACGAGTACGAGATTTGATCGCGTACGAGGAAGTTACCGTAGTCGTTCTCGTTTCCATTCAAATGTTGCTTTTATAACAGTAAATCAACAACGAGACAAAACGTTCATAAACTAAATCTCCTGCTGACTAAAATCCCCTACAAAACGTGTAAATAAGTCATAACATTAAAAACAGGCCAGATATTTAGCACTAATATATCATTTACGCCAGATAAACGCTATATAAATGCTACAAATTATTTTTGGAAAACAAAACAAAACAACTTTCGATCTTTGTTTAATTTTTTTGAAAAGTAGTCGTGAGGACTACGAGGTTTGTCCACAATTTCGTACTCAGATGTGCGACGGGTACGACGTTTTAGCATCAGTACGGGATGGCGTAACCATACAGCATGCGTTTAGCTTGACGAATCTCGTACTCGTAGTCAAATCTAAAGCTCCCTACTAGGGAGCCTTAGCAGCGACTACGAGTACGAGTACGAGATTCGTCAAGGGAAACGCATGCTGTATGCCTACGCCATCCCGTACTGACGCGAAAAAGTCGTAGCCGTCGCCCATTTGAGTACGAAATTGTTGAGAAATCTCGTAGTCCTCACGACGACTTATAAAAAAGCAATGAAAAGTTTGCTTTTTTGTTTTCCAAAAATAATTTGTAGCGTTTATATAGCGTTTATCCGGCGCCGAAATAATATATTAGTACTAAATATCTGGCTTGTTTTTAATTTTATGACTTATTTGCACATGTTGTAGGGGATTTTAGCCTGCAAGAGATTTAGTTGATAAAACTTTTTCTCTCGTTTGTTTACTATTATAAAGGCAACATTTGAACGGAAACAAGAACGACTAAGGTGATTTCCTCGCACGCGATCAAATCTTGTACTCGTACTCGTACCCGTAGTCGCTGCTAAAGCTCCCTACTCAGTACTTAGTAGCGAAGACGGCCCTCCGTTTTAAACGTCGAAGTTCTGGTTATAATTTTCACGAAGTGGTGTTAATTAAGTGCTATTTCGGCACGTTAAAATACTTTACATAAACGGATAGACCACAGATAGATTACCTTTCAGGAACAGGGAAACGACAACCAATATTACAAAATGAAAACACTTTGGAAACATTTTCTTTAATCGATGAAAGCTATAGTTACGTTATGAAAGCGGAAGGCGAAATGAATCACTGTAGCGAAGCCAAATCAAATTAACAGTCACACTCACGCGACATGAAGTATCAGGTGGACTGTGGTGCTTTTGTGTTTGAATGAGAAAAAAATATGTAAAACTCTTTCCATCGTAAAATTGTAACAGTCCTCAGTGAAAACTATCATATAAGTAATGATTTTATAACTGTGCTTTGGCTTTAAAATTCTAAGAAGGATACACTATTGGAAATATTTTTAAGGGAGGGGGATAGAACTTCGCACAGCAGAACAAACACAGGGGAAGAATGTCGTCAAGCTTAAACAATTCAACCCGAATTTCTTCCAAAAAGATATTGAAATTCCTTGTCGTTTTCCACGATGTTTGTCCACAACACGCCGACTTCAAACATCTCGTTCGTCTCAGAAAATCAAACTAGGTTTGTTTCTGTGCAAATAAGCCCACCACACACATTTGAAAAATCTTGTTACGATCCGTTGTTATTTCGGACCGAAAATGGTAGCAATTTCCGCACGCAATACAAAAGCATACAAAATTTGCAAACTTTAAAATTTGCAAGGCTATATTTTCCACTGCATTTTACAACATTTCGCAACCAAACTTTGCAATTTTACTCATTTTATAGTATGGTCTTTCTAGTTATGGTAATATTGATAGGCATCACTTTGCCTAGTTTTAAAATTTGTTTATAATGGAATTGTCTATGTTGCATAATGTATTTATATTGTGAACATATATACCCCGTAAACTACAAAATTTCTTTTTTTAATTTGCCTTTTATTTCAATATAATCAGAACAGCATGGCAAACTGTTTTCCAGTGAATTCTGCCGGAAATTAAATGTCAACATAACAAAATCAACATAGGAATGAGTGCCAAGAAATTCAGAAAATAGTATACTTATTTTACTGTATCATTTTACACATTTAGGACTTTATCGACAGGAGAGAGGAGACAGGAGATATTGTTTCACTAAATCGAAAGGTGGTATTTTCATCTACATGCACAATACGATTCCACCATCGGCATAGTTTAATTAGCACCTGTCTCGTACATACCGCTGCCGCTTGTAATGATATCAACGCTACCTACAATGGTATAGATCATGCAAATACCATTTTCTAAACTGTAAAATGTTACAGCCATGATGGAATATAGTTACGCATGATGAAATATAGTTAAACATAGTGGAATATACTGTAGTGTAGTTATGGCAAGAATCCACCGACCGATCAGCCCGAATGTTTATCAGTGCAAATACAATAATGCAAGGAACTTATCAGTGTTTGTTTTTTGTATTGAGGTTCAAATGTATTGAAGTTCAAATGCATGGAAGCCTGAATAAATTTATTAAAAAAAACATTAGGCCCTTTTGCAGTTTTGGACTTCAAGATTTTTTGACCGGCTTTTTTACGTTTACAGCGGCGACAGCCTGATATCGGTATCAATATTATTTGTTTAATTATGTTGATTTTCTTGCTTTAGGACCTTGGTGCAGTTTTAAGGAATATGAGATTAATCAGAGATTATTCCGCTCCCGTGTCACGTGATGAGGAGTCTCAACAACAGGACATTTCCGGTAAGAGAGCGAACGTTTGGGAAGTTAGCGAATGGCCTCTGCGAATGGCCTGTTGTTGTTTTGAAAGTCGACCAATGACAATGCAGCGTGTAATTTGAATTTCAAGGCCATGAATTCATACCGGTCACAAACCTCGGAAGATTAGATATTTGCAAGTTTCAATTCGGCATTTTCTGCAGGAAGATATTGTTCAGTTCTGTTAAAGAAAAGTATATTATGTAAAAATTATCGCTCTTCCGATGTAACGTAATTTGGCGACGACGCGACAGCCGAAGTTCGCGTTATTCGATTGATTTCTGTCAGCGTTTGTCCCAATTAGTCCAATTAACGGTCAAAGTGACCAGCCTTCTATTATTTCCTGCTGTTAACCCGCATGTCAACCCCAACCATGGCCGTTAACCTCATGTCAACGCCAATCTTGGCCGGTTCTCGTTAAAATCTTTCAGGAAACACATGTAAGTGATTTTCAATATACTTGTATATAAAGATATAACGTAATAAATTAATAACACAGGATTTTCTAATGATTTTCAATATACTATTATATAAAGATATAACGTAATAAATTAATAACACAGGGTAATATTGGGCCGCCTGTGTACTAACTTAACGTTTTGTCGCAAAATTCTCGCTGCACGAACTTCGCCAGTTCTTTAATGCATATGCATATTTTAAATTCCTTTTATCTCAGTGTTAATTGGGTATTTATTACTATTATATTGGTTATGATTTGTTATGAGGTTTGGCTTAAAGATTTGAAAAAGTTATATCTCAACATTCATTTTAAAATTCACACATGTAAAATTTCTCCGCTCTAAGTTATAGAAATAAAAGATAACCGTCCTTCAACATGCGTTCATATCTGTAAGGATTCCAGGTTTTCTATGTTCAACTAAAAATAACAATGAAATTTTTTAACACATGCATAAATAAGTGGTTTCACTGATGTACAGTCGATATAGTGGTCAACTCGCCGTTGTAAGAATGACATTATTCTTGCCCCAGGCTACCACATTCACACGACATCTCCCTCCTTCAAATGAAATGAATACAACTGGAACGCTACCTAAAGATAAACTTCCTATCCTTTTATTCCAAGACACGCGTGTTTACAGCTAATTAAAATAAGGTTGTCCTTCAAAAAGTCTCAAATCTTAAACATTGAGCGCGCGCCGTATGACGGGTATTGCTTATTTCGAGCCTTTGATCGAGTATTAGCTTAATGAACCAAACAGCCCAACGTCGCAAGTGTTCATTATATGCCCCCAACATGGTTGTAAAGCGAATTTACCGAGTAGGGAGTTACCCATCATCCCTTGCGTGCTCAATGTTCAAGGTTTATGATTTTTGAAGGACAACCTTTTCTGAATTAGTTGTATATCATGATTGGCTGATTGAGCGCTCTTAATATGCGTGAAAAGACTGGGATTGGCGTTCAGGTTTGGTTTCAAATTTCCGATTGGAGGTAGCGTTCCAGTTATATTCATTTCACTGCTCCCTCCACAGCCCGTATTGCACCATGGAAAAATCACGCACAAATTCTGCAGGAGTTGCGACCAAAGCTCTGTGATTGTGAACTATAGAAGTTGGGCCTTTCCATGAAACACGATGGCCTGTGGAGAAGGCTGGCACGTCATCGTAGCGTGGCATTCGTAACAAACTGAGTACAACTCACTGAGCTATACATATTACAAACTGAGTACACATTTAAAAAACCATACCGTGCATTTGAAGTCTGCAGGTTCGTAGCCAAACACCTTGGCAAAGAAACAATATTCTCCTTCTAAGGTCGCAATGATGTTTTCACTTTTTCTGAATCCATGCTGTTCACCTAATCAGTGTAGGAAATATCAAATAAACTTCGCAGCTTTCTAGTTATACAGCAAACATTACTTCGTGTAACATGGCTTTTCTAATTCCACGTACCTTCATAAAGGATATAGCAACAAGGTAATCCCTTCTCTTTCACGGCATTGAACATCATTTCTGCCTGATTGGGCAAAACAACCTGAAGGAGAGAACAATGGATTCTAACAATTTCGCGTGTGTCTACCAAACCTCCGTTCAAGTGTGAGCTGCTCTGACATCTAGTTGTCTAATTATAGTCGGTCAGTTCTTCGATATTTACATTGACTAATCGTGCTGATCACTTTCTGCATGACCAATCGTATTTAATTTTTGGTAAACAGTCCCACGGATGCACGGAACCGAAAAGTTCTTGGTTCCTATAGTTTTCAAATTTTCTGCATGTCTGGTACAAAAAAGTTGGTACCATAAACTTTTGTTGCCCTCGTCACAGCGAATAAGCTAATTGTTTTTGCGTTCTTTTTCTAGCATGCTTTTTTGAAAACTGCGTATTTTATCTGATCAAAAGAGCCTTGTTCCAGAGCTAGTCAGAAAGAAAATGCCAAAGAAAACTTGACAATTGTACAAGAGACACCTTTATGGTTTTTTTAGAAATGGTCGTTATATCGACATGCCGAAAATATCGATTTATCGGTATGTGATATATCGGAATCTGTATCAAATTTACACACCATGCATGCATAAAGAAAATCAGTAATATTTTGTTCTACCCAAATGCAAATTAAAAGTAGCAGACATTTCGTGTTAAAAACAGTTATCTGTGTACCTGAAAGTCCTTCGAAACAGCTCCGAAAATATCATAAACAGTGTTTCCACTTTTCACATTATTCAAATTTCCACTAAGGACTTTTATTATCTAATTTAATGGGCAAAAAACCGGTATACCGATATCTGTATAATATTTCCAGTATACCAACACCGGACAATTCTCATGCCAAACATTTCCAGGTTTTGGCAAACGAAAGGCGGCCCTGCATGACGTGAGACAAATGTTCATGCAACAACATTGATTCCGTGGATGCAAGAAACTTCTCAAAGGGGAACTTTGTCAATGAAAACTTGCTCGTCTTAACGGGGTTTTATAATGCACACAGACAGAACACATAATGTACTTACTGTATTATAACAGAAAGAAGAACAAACATGAGCAAAACGCCCGTGGTTACCTTATCCTCGTCTCCCTGGAAGAAGATCATAGGACAGTTGAGTTTGTCCACGTGATAAATAGGTGATCTTTCTCTATACAATTCTTTACATTCAGGGTATGGCCCAATCATTGCATCAATATAACAACTTTCAAATTTATGTATATCTTTCACCAAAGCCTCGACATCGGACACGCCGAACAAGCTGGCACCAGCTTTAAATACTTCATTACGTTGTGTAAGACACGCTAGTGTGGTATAACCCCCAGCTGAACCACCATCAATACAAAGTTTCTCGGGATCTACAGCTTTCATTGAGTTTGCGACATACAGAGCTCCATTACAGCAGTCTTCCACGTCCACTTTGCCCCAACTGTAAAACATGAAAATAATTTTGCTTTTTTTTCTGCCTCCATTGCCCATGGCCAGTGCGGGGGCAGCACTGCTTTTTGTACAATAAGTACACTTCCAAAGTCGTGCATTATTCACGCGTGAATTGAAATTGAGAAACGTTCCTGATGGACCATTCCCCAATTAACCAAAATTTTGATCTCAACAAGTCTAGACAAAATTCCATCATAGCATGAAAGAGCATCACAAAATTAGTAATATTCCAAAGTTTCGTTGCGAAATGTTGTAAAATGCGGATAATATAGCCTTGCGAAATTTGCAATTTTCAGTCATTTTAGATTACAAATGGGAAATGGTTACCACTTTTCCAAAATTTTAATTTTTTTTAAATTTTTTACATAGCCTTGCGAAGTTTGTAATTTTCAGTCATTTTGGATTACAAACGAGAAATGGTTACCCATTTTTCGTTTGTAATCCAAAACGACTGAAAATTGCAAATTTCGCAAGGCTATATTATCCACATTTTACAACATTTTGCAACGAAATTTTGAAATATTACTAATTTTGTGATGCTCTTTCAAGCTGTGATGATTTTTTTGTCTAGACTTGTTGAGTTCAAAATTTTGGTTAATTGGGGAATGGTCCATTTAGCTAAAATTTGAATCTGGATTTCTTCTCAGAAACGTTACCAAGGTTTCCAACTTAGCTAAATGTAAAAAAGAAAGCTGTCCTAAATAATTGACCAGCTATCATGTTGTTTTATGTACAATACATTTCAGTCTTTAGCGTCATGCATCAAATAAAATTGTTCCAATTAATTCCATAATTTGTCCAACTATATATTAGCTACACGTAATGGAGTATTTCGTACAAAACGAACATTGCTGTCCACAAAAAGCGAGTAGCAAGGGAGTTGGCTTGCAACTCCTGAATTCGTAATTCAACTAAGTTTCCAATTTGAAGTTCGCCCATAAACTATAGAGACAGCGTTGCTCCATGGCTCCCTAACTTCGGCACTCATGTTATATCATGTAACTCAACACTCCTTACTTGCCATACAGTTCTTTCCTGTAATTCATGCCATATCCAGTACTGCCTCTGTAGTTTACATCCAAGATCGCCACCCCACGACTGGTGAAGAATTGTTTACTCAAATCAAGATTCGGTGAGGTTGAATCAGTGGGACCACCATGTACTTTTATTAGAAGGGGTGGGAGAGAACCAGGGGGTGCAGCATAATCTTTGTTCTACAGCCGTGTATAAAAAAAATGTAACCGAACTTCAGCACGCTATTGGGCGTTAATTACTCGGCATGTGATCAAAATTTTTCATATTCGGAAAATCAGGCTTTTAGCTTTTGAATGACATGCTTTTCATGCCAAGTGGAGAAAAAGATAAGCAAGTACGAGTCCGATAAAAATATTAGTCAGAATCGCATATTTTTACCTCTGTGACTAATTAAAGCAGTGCATAACAAAAGAAAAAGCAATTGATCACGAACATGTCACAGCTTAGCTAAGATTTATTCCTACTTGATAATAATTATGAATATGTGTGTGTAGTTTAAAGAAGTGAAATTCATCAACTTAAGTCCTAATGGGGGTTAATTTTCAACAAACATATACAACCCCGCCCACAAATATGAAGAAATTTCAAGAGAGTTTGTGCGTCTTTACATTAAACGTTTTATATGATAGTAATTGCAGAGATACTGCAATATAATTTGTGCAAAAATTACAAATTAATATTACACATAGCAACACTATGATTAATAATAGTAATAATAATAATAATAATAAACTACTGTGAAAAGAGGTTTCAGAGTCGCAACAGCTCTTGAAATTATTTCATGTTTGCGGACGGGGTCGTATATCCTGATGCGTTGTTAAGTTTATCAGTGAGATGGGTGCTTTTCGTATTGTATCATTCTTAATTTTCACCAAATAACCACATTAAAAAATTCACCTTGTACAGGGTGTATCAAAACTAAGGTAATTGAACTTCAGCGCGCTATTTTATCTGAAATTACTCTGCGTATGACCACGATTTTTTCATATTCAGAACGATCAGGCTTTTAGCTGTTGAATGAGAAATGGATGAAAAATGAGCAAATACGAACCTGATGAAAATGTTAGTTAGAATCGCATATTTTCCCCGTTGAGAGTTGCGTCTAACTGGAAGATGCTCTGCAGCCCCGATGTGATATTTATAAGCGACACCGCACATTGGTGGTTTTCGTATAACTTGTTGAAAAGACAGAATCCTAATGTGACAAACCAACCAACTGACAACTTACCAACAACCGGACTGACCGAACAACCGACCGGCTGACAATCTGACTGGTGAACAGGTTGACCAACCAACTTGTCTAAATAAAAATTCTAATTAACAGCCTACAGTTATCTTTTACCTTTGGCAAATACAGATATCCATGTGCGACTTTATTATCCTCGGTTGGGAACGTGACGGCTTTAGGTTCACTAATGTACCCTGGGTCCATCTCATGATGCTTTGTATCCTTAATAATCACCACATGCTTGCTTTCAACATGCACGTCAATAACACAGTAAGGTCGGGTCGTGCTGCCAGCAATGCAGTAGATCTTGTCGCCACTTGGAGAGAATTTTGGGTACATATGAGAAACGAAACCTGTATCTATGGTGTCCATTTTCCCCACCTCAGAATTCAAGATTCCTAGGGCCTGTGAAAAGAGAGTGAGTTGGTTTATCTGGGTCTATGTCTTCGTCTTTGGTAAATTTTACTATCATTAATGACTTGTTCCAATGGAAAACCCAGGCAATAATTTACTACTACTGCTTAACGCAGTGCTGGAAAATGTCTGGTAGAACTGCTGTCAAGAATTTTCAAATATAGAAAATTTCTTCATAGAAAACTTTTTTATTTCCTGTAGGAATTCTTGTCACCGTATAAACAGGCAACCTCGTTCCCAGGCTCTTCCCTGGGAACGAGGTTGATAAACAGGTGGCCAAAGATTTTTTATCACAGACTACGGGACTTCGGAGGTGTACAGTCATTATAGCAAACGCCTTTCACCTCCGAGATCACTACGGCCTCACGTGAAAAGAGTCAGTCATGCAACGAGCTGCCAAAAGGCGCGGATTTTCTACCAGGTATTCCGGTTTCCTCCCACAGGAAAAATTGACAGTGTGGGTTAAGATAAACACAGATAAAGAAGTAATATAACTATTGTTGTCAAGATAAAATAGTCTAGGCTAATTATGTGTTTAGATAAAATGCAATACTTGATGTATAACAGCATTTGGTCGTAAATTTGCGCTATAGAAATAGCTAATTGTAACAGATTACTAAAAAATAGGCAACTTCAAACTTACGAGAACCAATAATTAAATACGTATACCCACCCCACCACACACAACTGCTAATATTCTGGCATTTTTAGGATGTGGTTCATAACTACATTGACCAAATATCCAATGTGGCATTCCAATTTCCTTCTCAACTGGAAACAGTTCACGTTCGTTCTCAGTGTCAAAGATATACTCGTATAAATTCCACCAATCAGTTCTGTCGGAGATGAAAAATAGCGCATCCTCAGCTGTCCACCTTGGGTGCATGAGACTCACACCATCATTACGAATGATCTGTTCGAAACAGAAATTGCGAGGTCAGTGCTGGCAAACCCACAAAAGGATATAAAACTCCATGGAAAATTTCTCAACAGCCACTCAGTCAAAACAGAAAGCCATAGCATGTCTTTTTTCTGTTTGCAATGTGTGGGCTGTGTGGGCTATGTGGGCTGTGTGGCTATTGAGAAATTTTAGACACAGTTTTACAAGAAACACAGGAGTTTATTAACAGGAATGATTATCAAAAAATATTTCAGTTGCAGACACATCTTCAGCCAATCGAGCAGCAGCACAGTCTCCCTTGACAAATAAAATCATCTGGCATTAGACAGAGTAAAATAATCTTATGTTACACAGAGTAAATTAATAAAGCAGGGTGCATCGGGGTGTAAATGTAAGTGGTTTAATAGTGGTTTCAACTAGTAGTGCTGGTGGTGGTGGTGGTGGGGGGTCAAATTTGAACATCGCAAATAATTTCACAGTAGTGTAATTAGCGCGCGTCAATTAGAATCACTTCACTACGTTTAAAATGGCGTGATTGTTGTAACCGTTTAATCAACTTTCAAATGACGCAAGCCATCAGATCACGACATTTTTGTTATATAAAAGCACAGAATAGGAAGGTATAGAAGAAGTGTAACTCAAGCAAGTATTTGTCCGCGTTTTTACAAGCAATTCGTCATCAATCACGCCATCCTGGCTAGTACAACCGGCACTTTGTACCTATCAAAACCTGATAAAAACTTCCGGCTGTACTAGCCAGGATGGCGTGAGCGAGTTAAAATTTGCGTGGACGTAAACACCGACTCAAATTACACTTCTGCTATACCTTCCTATTCTGTGATAAAAAGGGCGTGTGAATTAGCCTTTCTCACGCCGCCATTTTTGGGTAGCATTTCAGCCGAAGTCTGCAAGATAAGTCCACATAACAGCAACTTTTTATAATTCTTTGGACAAATAATGGTAAATTTGCGTTGTAAATGGTTAGTTTATTTTGAAAAATTGCTTTTCACATTGTTTTAATTGTCTGCATTGGTTAACGAGAATTGGATGCAACCAAAAAATGGCGGACATTCGTCATCGTGAGAACATTGAACTATAAATAAACTGGAAGGCTAACTGCTATGATGAAGGCCTATGATTTGATGAAGCCAAAATAGTTTTTCTGAGTTATGAGCAGAAATACTTGACCCCAAACGTCGGGCTATATATCAAATTGAAGCTATTGAAAATTGCTATTCGGTGTGGAAATTTCAAGACTTCAGCCAAAATAAAAATATTTAAAAAATACAAAAACAACTGCAAAACGGCAAATTATCGGTAATTATATTTGTAGTTTTTCAATATTTCCCTTTTAGCTAAAGTCTTGAAATTTCTACACCAAATAGCGTTTTTCAATAGCTTCAATTTGATATATAGCCCAACGTTCAGTGTTGAGTATTTCTGCTCATAACTCAGAAAAACTAAAATGCACTGGCTAAAATCCCCCACCCCTGAGTTAGCCTTCCAGTTTATTTATAGTTCAATGCGTGAGAAAGGCTAATTGGATAAGTCACATATTATTAGCACTGATGAATAGCCGCGGTTAAGGACCGAACACTTTGCATTAATAAATTTACGTGGTGTTTCAACAACCAGAAGTCTTATATGTTTTATCGACATGCAATTCTACAAAAAAATTAGTGTAGTATTTATTCTCGCATGTCTTATAGAGTGTAAAGGCCATTAAAATCAGTATTACGTTGTCCAGTTTGTAGTCCGTGATATGTCGTGTTTTAGTGTTTAGAACAACGGTTTTCAACTGGTTTTCTCATGTGTCCCCGATTTCACATGATTGAATTACGACGTCCCCTGAACAGAAATTGCCCACTGAAGTCTATCAAAAACACGAATTTCGAAATAGTTAGTAAAATAGTAAATGATTTAAATTTTAAATAATAGATAGAAAGTCAAGCAAACATGTTTATAGTACAAACTATTGTATTCAACTATTGTATTCAACTATTGTTTTCTCAGTCCTAGACCAGTTTGTGTCCCCTAGGAATTTGCCAAATGTCCCCTCTCGGGGACATGTCCCCCAAGTTGAAAACCGTTGGTTTAGAAGCTTAATGGGTTAACACAGAGCATTTTGCTCTGCTCTTGAGGTGTCTGTATTGTAGAGGTCTGACCGCACCTGCTTAGCTGAACCTTCTACCAAACGTTTCCCATCACTACTCAGTTGACCAGTCCAGAGCTCAACAGTATCCCATGGCTGTAACGTTAGAATTGAGATAATTCAGTGTGGATTTACTGGCAATAATGTAATGTAAAACAGATCATCTCATTTTCAGTAATAATTACCATATTGGGATGGTTCCACTGAATCCAAGCCAGAGTGCCACTGGTGGATGAAACTCGTGGAGATGCATAGAAATCAGCACCTTCACACTGAAACAAAATTAATGGCATTTATGTTATAACTTTGATAATGATTTTGGCAGCACATTGGTTAGAACATGTGCTTGTCACTGAAATTGCTTTGCCTTCAGGCCTGGCTGTTTGAGGCACAAACACGCCTCCTCGCACGTCTTATCTTATCAACGTGTACATCTTGCTATGTACACGCCTGATTTGTTTGGGAGCAGAAAATCATGCCTCTTGTTTGTAACTTTGCGAAACAATACGAGATGTCCTTATTGGACATAAGCAAGATAGTTCAGAACTGACGACGTTACTGTATCTCTAAATAACAGTTAATGTATACAAGTTGTTATTTGTTGCCAGATAAATCAGTTCAACTATTCAAATAGCCTGATTCTATGTCTATTTCAAGGGTGAATTGTCTGACATCATACCAGAATAAATTGTTCTTGAGTTTCTGGATCAATAGATACAATGGTGTTTTTGGCTTCCTTCGCTTCCCCAGATTCAACAACTCCATGATCTTCACGGACACAGATGATCTTCTTGACAGGCTCACACATTTCACCATCTGCATATCTGGCAATTAAGGTCTCATTAATAGACAATTCCCATTATACAGGGTGTATCAAAAAAAGCGCAATCCTCGACTGAAATGTAAATTGCTAAACAAATAATAGACGAAAACGTTAAAGTTTACATTCATTTTAAAGCGTAGCCATTCAGCTTTCTAACAGTGGGTCGTTTCTTAAATTTGACTCATTGGTTCGCGGGTAATAATACTTTCCGTTATTGCGATTGGAGATTAAAAAAATTGAGAGGGAATAACAAATAGTTCTCATGAAAATAACTGATTTTTTCATTAAAACAAAAAAATGTTGCATTTTATTAAATGGATTGTAACAATTAGTATAATACGGCTTCTCTTCCACTATTTTTAACTCAGTTTGAAAGTTCAAATGCGATATAATTTTGGCTTGAACCATCTAAGCTGACTGACATCAACTTGCTATAATTTCTGTTTACATTACATCGCAATTCGATGACACTCTGGCTCAGACACCAGAATGTTTTGACGATTTTTAGCATTCGTTTAGGATTTTCAAACAACCTGGTCTCTTTTAAAATATTTTTAATTTGTTCTTACGTGGTTTTCCAGATGTATAGTGACGACAACATTAAAGTTTAAAGAAGAAAATTCTAACATTTAAACCGACTAAACAATAACATAGTAAACTTGCATAATTAAACAGCAACTAAAAATGATAGGTTTTACTAAATCTTTTCCTGTGCAATTATTACTACCATTGGAGACAAGGATAATAGTTTGTTTGAAAGAGAAAAGAACAGGCTTTGAAGTAAGCATAAAAGCGTTTAACTAGAAATAGTATTTCGAAAGTTATTAAGCACAAAAGATGAATTGCGTTTATTTTGATACACCCTGTAGACTAATTTTAAAATTAGGTAAGTAAACTCAAATAAATCACCACAGCTAGAAAGAGCATACTAAACAAAGTTTGGTTGCGAAATGTTGTAAAATGAGCAAAATATAGCCTTGTAAAGTTCGCAAATTTTGTATACTTTTGTATTGCTTGCGGAATTTCCTACCACATTCCTACCACATTTAGGCCGAAAATGTCGCACGCAATACAAAAGTATACAAAATTTGCAAACTTTGCAAGGCTATATTTTCCACATTTTACAACATTTCGCAACCAAATTTTGTAATTTTACTAATTTTAGTATGTTCTTTCTAGCTGTGGTGATTTATTTGCATCTCCTTGCCTAGTTTTAAAATTAGCCTATAATGGGAATTGTCTATTAATTTATCTATATAATCTTCTTGAAATTTCCATTTACAAAAGCCCTTCAATTGTTAGCGAGATGCCAAAAATCTTGATGGTTAATTAATATACCTTAATTCTTTGCCCTCGGGTGTGATTGGTTGTGGTGTTGATGTGGGAGACTCCTGTTTATACATCCTCTGATCATCAAAGTTCGTGAAGTAAACATGTCCCTTGTAAACAAACGTCGATCCACCTCCGTATTCATGAACCCTTGTCCGAGCGTTAAATCCCTTGGGAGTCCAGGATATGACCTCTGATTGGTTTTTATTCCAAGAACAAACAACAATCCGTCCACCCTCAGTTGGCCTACGGTCACTCCAAAACACTATCTCTGTATTTGAAAAGATGGAAATGGAGTAGAGTCTTCACTATGGTGTATTCCAATGTGTACAATCTGGTCTGAAATAAGATTCTGCGTTTTTGTGTCTAAACATTCAGCGACCGATTGTACAAAGGCCGCATAGTGCTATCCACTGGATAGTGATTGTTTAGCCTTTCTAAAAATGCCTGAAAAGCTGTGACAGACTCAAACAAAGGTCGATATCGACCCTAGAATTGATAAAAAGAAACTTTAATTTATAAATATACTAAAGTTTAATCTGGGTCACACCAAATCAACAACTGATTCTAGAAAGCTTGAAACAGTACTATCCACTGGATAGCATGCAATCATAGATATAATAAATAGACAGCACTTTGTACAGTCTGCCCCAGGAATGTCTGTGGGAGATTGTGCTATGATCAGCTAATAATCGTTTCATATTTTTTATGATAAATAACATGGAAATGTTGTTGCAGAGCATGCAGGAAAGATCTGCACTTGTGTTGTGGAGAAAACTTGTGCTCACCAGGGGAGGGGACGGATGTGTTATATTTCCATTTCCTCCATGAGTTTGTGTTGATCTTTACCTAATTGCGCCATTTCTGAATGTTTTATTGCGAAAACATCTGCAAATACAGCAATTGCAAATCATATTTGCAGATATTTAATATTTTGCTACAAGCTTACTAGAAAGGCCTTGTAAGGGAAGGAATGTATGTTGCTCAACTGATTTTCAAGACAAGTAACATTGCGGGCGAAATTAAGATTGTCACAAAGTTTGTGTCTGTTGCTATTTTATACAAAGTAATGTCCCACTGCATTTTAAATATTTCATAAGGAGTGCTGATACTTCCTTGATATATGCACAACCGAAATCTGTTTAAAGGCACAGTCCAGCCTTTTGAGTGATGGTTTTTAAGGCGCATTTCAGCCTTTTAATTGAGAAAACTAACTAACTAGGAAAATCAATTATGCATAATTCATGATCTTTAACAACAAAAATGTTTGAAAATGTTAAAAACATTAAGTTCGCTGGTCTTGAATTAAGCTTACTTGATTTTCCTAGTTAGTTTTTTCAATTAAAAGGGCTGAAATGCGGCTTAAAAACCATCATTCAAAAGGCTGAACTGTGCCTTTAACAAATAGATTAAATTTAACCGCTGTCTGTTCAGTTATAGATACACAGTATGACGTCATATAGGTGATAAGAGGAAAACAACGGGAAAATGTAATCTTTTTGTTTTGTATAATAAAATTGAAAACAGGTAAACAGTTCATTTTTATTCCCCCAAACATTTGGAAGTCGAAATATCACGCGTTCATGATTTATACAAATAACGAAATCCTATTGGCTCGATTGAAATCTGATTGGCTTATAGAATGCTCTAGACGGTACTAAATAAGGAAAAAATGTGTGTTTGTATTCCGAGTAATGAGTAACGAGTAATGAGTAATGAATTTTCGTACTAATTGCTTTGGAAAGATAAACCATGAAAACATTGACAGTGATTCCACTCACTCCTTGCCGTGAATAATTATGCTGTGACGGTGTCAGCAGTTTAAACTAGTATGATCAACTATGGCCATAATTTCGCTGATAGCATACTCGTCTTTAGCATGTCACATATTAAACCTTCGATTCAAAACGTTTGTCTCCAAGTTGAATTTCATAAAACCAACCTTTATACGACAGCACTTGTATTCTACATGCTATTCAACTCGTTTTGAAGGCTGAACTATAGTTAATATATGTGACATGCTAAAAACGAATATGCTATATAAGCGAAATTATGGCCATAGTTGATCATACTAGTCTAAACTGCTGGCACCATCACAGCATTTATAATTATTCACGGCAAGGAATGAGTGGAATCACTGTCAATGTTTTCATGGTTTATTTTACCAAAACAAGTACGAAAATTCATGCATTACTCGTTACTCATTACTCATTACTCGGAATACAAACACCCGGAAAAAATAAAAAATAATCAAAACAGTGAAAAAATATTGTTTTAAAGAAATAAAAACGTGTGATAAAAAGGCAATTATTTTGTTCTGAGCGACTATGGTGATTGAAAAGTACTTAAACATTGCCTATTTTCCACGAAGTGAAGAAACGTGTCAATCGACAGGGTCAAATATGACTCAAATAGTATTTGGATCTATTTGTTTTCGAAGACCGGATCGAATTTGAAGTCGCAGATGAATGACTGAATTGAGATTTGCCAAGGTGCTAGCTTTTGTGAGTAATTTTTGCACATTTATTGAAGGTAGTTTTTGATGTTTATAGATTTAATTACATGAATTCATTCAATTTGTATATAAATTCAGCGGAATTTTCAGATATTTTCGACATTTAAAAACTAATTACGTATTCCGTGCGTCTGTCCTTTAATAGATCATGGCTCTCGACCAATGAAATTGCAAGAATTCTTAAGGTTATTATATAATATAATCTAGTGTTTGGCTTATGTTTAGGATAGGGTTGAGCTGTTATGCATATATTGAGAAAGCGTCAAATGTTAGTCTCAGTATCTCTTCCAAATGTATATCCCCATATTCCCCCGGCCACCTTATTTCTTTGCTAACATTCCAGTCTGTATTCTAAGTACGCCACGCCAAAGATCTTCGGCGTGAGTTGGCTTGCTGGCACACAACCACACCAAGACTGGCAGACAATCAGCGCTATTTAAGATTGAAAGTACAGTCAGAACTTTGCCTGGTATTAATTGGTGTGTATAGTTAATTGCTCTGGACTCTGGCTCTGTACTTTTTTCTCGATAATACTCTATTAAAGTAGTTGAGAAACTTTATATGCCAGTAGTTTCTTCGTAAAGTTTCTGAAATGTTCTCTGGTCGTCAAATTTAAATAAATTTTCGATCAGAGAACGTTTCAGAAACTTTATTATGAATCCTGGTCGCGCATCAACCAAGACTAACATCATCTGGACCACCATTTAAAGCAGCTAAAGTATTACCTATACAGCAAAGAGTCAAGCTACGAACCGCGATTATGGTATTTAAGGCTCGAAACCAATTGGTCCCGGAATACATTTGTGGCTTATTTCTACTGAAGTCGTCAGTGACTAACCGAGTCACCAGAAGTTCTGCGGACAATGATTTGTGGGTACCAAGGAATAAATTGGCAATCAGACGAAAGGCACTACCATACAGTGGTGCAACACTTTACAATAGTTTACCACTTGAGATAAGAAACTCTTCATCGGTAGCAACATTCAAAATAAGAACACATCAATACTTTTTAAAAATAGTTTAAACGTAGTCATATGCAATCTATTGTACGTATATATATATATATATATATATATATATATATATATATATATATATATATATATATATAATATATATATATAATATATATATATATATATATATATATCAGTGGCGTAGCTAGCGAAATTTGACTAGTCCTGCTCTAAGACCCACCCATTCTAGAGGGGTCTGGGGGCATGCTCCCCCGAGAAATTTTGAATTTTAGCGTAACTATTATACTATTGGATACGGCATTTTATACACTATAACGCTACGGCTAGCATTCGTTAAAAATTCACTGCGTTTGTTAGTAATGTGTTAAACTTTATATAATGGAGTGGTATCAACTACAGATCACTACGCCTGGCACGCTGAATGTAATTCAGTACGTGCACAGTTAATAAAATAAGATGGTTTGGCTAGCCGGTAAACTTCAAAGCAAAATCGCGACGGGCGGCATTTATGTTGAGGATCAAACAAAACAATTGTCACGTGATCTCTTTAGTGCATGGCTGCATCAGAAATTATATAGGATCATATTACAGTGTTGCGGTTTTGACAGAATTTTGCGAAAATTAACATTATTAGGAGCCAACAATCGACGTTTCTAAATAGTTTATGTAAGGAGAAATAATGGAGGAAAGTTTGGAGGCTATTTATGCTATTCCTGAACCAGTAGAAGCGAATATCGATGAAAGCAAAGTTCCCGAGGAGTGGGAGATTCTCGCAGACGAACAATACGAGGAAGGACTATTCGAGGAAACGTTGCCGTTCAACTTCGAAATTGCCATAGATGTTCTTGAAGAGGACGAAGAAGATATAGAAACTGATTTCGTGGAAGCACTATCAGAGATAGGAGGCGAAAAGCAGTTTCCTTGCGATAGTTGCGACAAGATTTGCAAATCGAAAGGTGGCTTGACCAGGCATGTGAATTCCAAACATCGAGATAAAGGATATGAGGCAAGTAAAGACATCCCCGCACTGACAAAGGATGGTTTAATCTCCATCGTGAATAAAATAAAGTTAAATATAACGAATGAAGGTTATTGGGACAAGCAAATAACATCGGATTTGACGAAAATCACCTCAAACGATTCTTTGTTTGACGCTGTGCTGCCAATATACAAGCGATTTTGCAATAAACGAAACCAAGACAAGTTCCTCACAGAATTCTATGAGCTTATTCCCACATCATCTGCCCTTTTCAAGTGTGCAAATCAGCCATTATGTAGCCTTGTAATGATCTCCATGACAGACCATTTAGTGGCCTTATTTAAGTCTGACCATAATAGTGAGCAAATAACTTCAGGTTCAAGTAACAAGTCTCTGGATCTAAGTGAACACGAACGTGG